TTTTTTTTTTTTTTTTTTTTTTTTTTTTTTTTTTTTTTTTGAGATATAAGTCTCAATCTGTTGCCCAGGCTAGAGTGCCGTGGCATCAGCCTAGCTCACAGAAACCTCAAACTCCTGGGCTCAACAATCCTTCTGCCTCAGACTCCCCAGTAGCTAGGACTACAGGAATCATCACCACACCAGGCTAATTTTTTCTATTACACACATATACATACACACACACACACACACACACACACACACACACACACATATATATACACATATATATTATTTTAGTTGTCCAGCTAATTTCTTTCTATTTTTAGTAGAGACGTGGTCTCACTCTTGCTCAGGTTGGTCTCGAACTCCTGACCTTCAGTTATCCACCCCTCTGGGCCTCCCATAGTGCTAGGATTATAGGCATGAGCCACCGTACCCGGCCAACAATTATTATTATTATTTTTTTTTTTTGAGACAGAATCTCACTTTGTTGCCCAGGCTAGAGTGAGTACCATGGCATCAGCCTAGCTCACAGCAACCTCAAACTCCTGGGTTCAAGCAATCCTCCTGCCTCAGCCTCCCAAGTAGCTGGGACTACAGGCATGCGCCACCATGCCCGGCTAATTTTTTCTATGTATGTATTAGTTGGCCAATTAATGTCTTTCTATTTTTAGTAGAGACAGGGTCTCGCTCTTGCTCAGACTGGTTTCAAACTCCTAACCTCAAGCAATCCACCCGCCTCAGCCTCCCAGAGTGCTAGGATTAAAGGCGTGAGCCACCATACCCGGCCTAAACAATTCTTAATATTTATACACACAACACAGGATCGCTCAGTTATATAATGTAAATCCTATTTGATGTAAATAGCATGATAAACAGTAATACGATAGTAGCTGGAGATTTCAACACCCCACTTACTAAACTGTGCAGACCCTTTAAGCAATAATTAAGCAAAAAACAATGGACTTAAGCAGAACTCCACAATAAATGGGTCTGACAGGGATCTACAGAAAATTCCACCCAATTAAAACCGAATATACATTCTTTTCATCAGCTCATGGAACTTTCTCCAAAATTGATCACATCCTAGGCCACAAATCAGACCTCAACAAATTTTTAAAAGTAGCAATTATGCCATGTATCTTCTCAGGCAAATGTGATATAAAATTAGAGTTCAATTCCAACAGACACACTCACCACTTCACAAAGTCCTGGAAATTAAACAATCTATTATTGAATAACTGTTGGGTCAAGGAGGAGCTCCAGATGGAAATCAAAAGATTCTTCGAACTAAATGATAACAGGGACACAAGTTCTCAAAATCTGTGGGAAATAGCAAAAGCATTCCTGAGAGAAAAACTAATAGCATTAAATGTTCACATCCAAAAGACAGAAAGTTCACAAATCAACAAACTACTAAACCATCTCAAGGAACCGGAAAAGGAAGAGCAAATTAATTCTATTTTTTTTTCTTTTACATTTTGACATTGCCATGGCATTCGTACTGCATTTTGTGAAAGAATCAGTCTGCAGTGGATTAGGGGGAGACACAAGTGGGTCCCTCACTGCAAGCAGTTTGAAGAGCCCTGTCCTACATAGCTAAGTCCTTAACCCTCTTTAGCTCTCAGCTAAGGTGTCACTTTCCCAAGAAGCCTTCTCTGACTGCCCAGATTCAAGTCAAAGCCTCCCATCTCTCATCAGAATCGGAGTCTTCTGCTCCATTCATCACCATTGCAGTCTTATGTAAGGAAGGTTTTGTTCATGCCTGACCCCCCCAATAGTAGATATAAGTTACAGGAAGGTGTGGACTATTTCCGTTTTTACTCCTAGTTGCATTCCCAGTGCTTGGCACATAGTAGGTACTTACATAGTGTATGCACACCTAATGGTTGTGGTATGCACCATATCGGGGATGGGCATGCTTGAACCTCTGACTCAGGTGGGGCAAAGGCAATATAGGTAACCTAAACATTTGTACCCCCATATTATGCTGAAATAACAAAAAATATTGTTTGAAGTGAATGACACCAGACACAAAAGTTCATGTACTGTACGATTCCATTTATAGGAATCCAGAACAGGCATCCAGAATAGATGAGTCCATAGAAACAGAAGGCAGATTAGTGTTTTCCAGAGGCTGGAGGGAAAGGGAAATGGGGTGTGATTGCCTACTAGGACCTGGCCATAGTTGGGGGGATGATAAAAGTGTTTGGAACTACGTGGTGCTGGTTGGACAGCATCACGAATGAACATTGCCAGTACATCTCACGTTGTAAATGGTTAATGGTATTTCATGAGTATGTCATCTGAATTTAAACATGTGTATATGCAAAAGAGGGAGCAGTGATGAAGAGTTTGGGTTCTAGAGCCAGAGTGTGAATCTTGCTCCTCCACTGACTAGCGACGTGAGCTCACACAGCAGATGCTGTGGAGGGGGAAGGGCTCGGGCTTGCAGCAGGTCTCTCGGAGGAAGGCAGTTGTGGAGGGAGTCGGGGGCCATCGTCTTTGGAGGTGGGGACACTTAGTGACCCTGGAATCCTTTTCCCCCTTTCCCTCGGGCCTTTCAACGAGACAGGAAGCGGATCTGGTATGTTGGGGCTATTTTGCCCAGACCACTCTCCCGGGGTGTGAGGTCGATGTCCTCAGGTGCCACGGGGCTGGCCAGGGAGAAGTTCTGGAGGATGGTGGTGAAGAAGAGGAACAATTCGTTCCTGGCGATGCCTTCACCAAGACAGATGCGCTTCCCTGTGGGCACAGGAGGAAGATCAGCAGTGTGGGTACAGGGCGGGTGCACGCTCTTTGCCCTGCCACGCCCCTAAGCCTGGACACTTGTGTCCATTGCAGCAGATTTGCATGAGATTGGCCTTTAACCTGGAATGCATCCTGCACTTTTAGGTGGTTCCCTAACCCTCTGAAACTGGGTGCAAATCTTTGTGTGCATATGCCACATTCATTTCTCTAGGAGAGAGTTTGTGTGTGTGTTTTACCTCTACGGATGTAGGTGTGAGCATATTTCTGCCTTGACATTTTTAGTATTCTTCATTTCTAATATGTGAAGAATGGTATCTATCTATGAGGGCTCTTGTGAGGTTAAAGAAAATGTCTGTAAAACTTCTTAGAATAGCACCAGGCTTGAATTAAGAATCCTCAATGTGTAGTTATTGCCTTGTGTTTATTTATGGGAGCATGTGTAGGTTGTGTGTGTCTATCTCTCTGCTGTCTTCTTGCCTCAGCCTTAAATCCACAGGCTTCAAGACTTCCTGAAAAATATATAAATTGTATATAAAATTGTGATTGGAATTGGTGCACACGGCGGGGGGGGGGGGTCTATGGTTCCCATCACCCTCCAGTAAGCTTTTTCTCAGATACCCACCAAGGTTACTCAGTGTTTCCTATTTTGTACTCCCCAAACCCCCTTTAGAGCACTTATCATGATTATGATTAATTATAGTAATAATTGCCCCTGTGAGCGTTTGTTTTGTGCCAGGCAGTTCTAACCATGTTAAATGCATCAATTCATGTACTCATATTATTATGTTGCTACCCATCTCCTCTGTAAATTTCCTGGGGCAGGAACTATGTCTCTGTATGGTTTGTTTGATGCATTCTCTTCAGCCCCCAGTAAAGCACTGGAATGAGAGTAGTGCTCAATAGACTTTTTTATTGAAGAAAATGAATTGAGTGAAATTTAGAGAAATTAAAATACTTGCCCAAGGTCCCGCTTGGCAAGATGTGCCTTTGGGATGTAATCTCCTTCCTCAAGTCCCCTCATAGGGTAGCAGTAGAGATGGAATGGGGTCACACAGATAAACAAATTAGAGTATACTACGTGCTCAATAAACAAAGACTTATACTTGTTTTTGTCAGGAGGAGATGGAACCGCACTTCAGAATCTGGGAAAGGGGTCTCGGGTCCAGCTTACCTAAGGAAAAGGGAATAAAAGCTTCATTCTTCTTCAGTGCCCCATTGGCATCCAGGAAGTGGTCAGGGTTGAAGGCCTCTGGTGTTTCAAAGTAACGTGGGTCACGGAGAGCAGAGTTCAGGATGGGAAATACTTCGGTGTCCTGAGGGCGGGTCACAAGATAAAAAAATATTCCCATTCCCTGGGCAAGCAACAACCAAAAACCCCAAAAAAAGAAAACCAGAAACAAGGGGACCCTATTCAGGAAGCAACAAAAAGTTGAGTTTTGGGATGAGGAGAACCCAGGGTGCCCGCACGAGAGAGACGCAGGACCCCGCTGGGCTCACCTTGGGGATGATGTATCCTCGGAAGTGGGTGTCTTTGGTGACAATGTGGGGCACACCAAGGGGGATGAGGTCTGCGAACCTCAGAATCTCGTGGATGACGGCGTCCGTGTACGGCATTTTGGCCCGGTCGTCGAGGGCTGGTGGGCGATGTGCGCCAACCACCTGCTCAATCTCCTTGTGGACTCTCTCTGCACAGAAAAGGGGACCCGCGAACCCCATTTCAAAGAGACATCTCACTGATTTCTATGGGCCAATGAGCCAGGAAAATCCTATGCTAAGGGGTTAGATCATTGATATATCTCAACACAATCAGCTTGGGGTGAGGGAGGGAGGGAGGAAACAAAAAGAATTCTTACCCTTCTAAATATAATGAGTGTCATGCTTACTGTCCTCACATGCATGAGTGTACACACACACAAACACACAAACACACACGATAATTTTACATGGAATTTCAGATCAAGAACTCTAGGCTACAAACATGCCAGAACTGTCTCTCTGAGTAGAAAATGAACTAATGTTTGTTGTGTGTGTATTATAAGTGAGGCACTGTGTTAGGTTCTCAAGAATAGAAGAGTGAAATCGATAGATAAATGCATGAACTACTGGATAAATAAATAAATACAACAATCAATCAATGGATAGATCAATTCATGAATGAAAAGATGGATGAATGAATGAACAAACCAATAAATGGATGTGTGTATTCACTTATAAATCAATAGATGGATCACTTAATGTGTAACTAGATAATAGATGGTCCAGAAACAAATGAATCAATGAACCTATTATAATTAATCAATAATCATATGAATGGCTAGATTTATGGATGATAAGGGCTTGAAAAAATTAGTGAAGTATGAGTAAATAAATGCATGGGTAGATTGAATGATAAATAAATAAGGAATGAATAAATGAGTGAATTATTTAGTGGATAAATTAAGGAAGGGATGGATGGATGTAGAATGAATTGAAAAACCAACAGAGGGAAGGATTAAGGAATGGAACGTTGTTTATAAAAGGATGGGTGGATGCATGCATAAACAGATGAGCCAGTGAATTAATGACAAATACTCCATTGAACATGTCACTGCTGCAAAGGATCAACTCATGGATCAATTAATTCAAATAAATGATGAAAGTGCATTTCCTTGGATGAGACACAGAAGAAAGAATCAGTGAGTATGCAGGTGAATTAATGAATAAAAGAATGGATAGATGAAAGGATGGACGGATGAACGGGTAAATCCTTAAGTGATGACACAGAAATTCAATTATCTCATGTTCTCGCCCACAAGTGGGTGCTAAAAAACGTGTACATGTGGACGAAGAGGAATGATTGACAGTGGAGATTTGGAAGGGTGAGGGAGGCGGATGATGAGAAATTACTTAATGAATACAATGTATGTTATTTGGGAGATGGATATGATGAAAGTTCTGATATGACCACTACGCAGTCTGTACATGTAACAAAATTGCACATACACCCCATAAATTTGTAGAAACAAAAAAATGTAGAATACCCTCCTGCCTCAAAAGAGTCTTTAAGTGATGGGGGGAAACAGTGGGAGAGCAATTCGACAGATTCTGCGTGCATCTACGCATCCACCAAAAAAACACAGAAAGGAACTGGAGCCCATTCTCCTAAGTGACGTATCTCAAGAATGGAAAAAGAAACACCACATGCACTCGCTATTAAAGTGGAACTAACCCATGAGCACACGTGTGCACAGAGGGAAGTACAACTCAGTGGAGATCAACTGGGGGGGGGAGGAGAGGGGCAAGAACCCACCTGTGGGTACCATGAACACTATTTGGGTGACAGGCTCACCTACCGCTGGGACTCAAGCATTACAAAGGCTATCTATGGAACCTAAAACATTTATATCCACATAATACAATGTTTTGAAATAAAAAATAAAAAAAAAGAGCTGGCTTAGTTGGAGAATGGTCCAAAGCCTGCAGTTCTTCTGGAATAACAAGCCAATGTCTCCTCACTCATCCAGGCAGGAACCCTCACCCCACTTCTGCAGCTCAGAGGGAGTCAGAGAACCCCCAGTTAGCTGTCCTGGCCCACCTGTGACATGAGGGTGTTTGAGCATGAGCAGGAAGCCGTAGCGCAGGGTGGTGCTGGTGGTCTCAGTGCCAGCGAAAAAGAGCGAGAGCGTGTTGAAGATGAGGTTGTTCTCACTGAACTCACTGTGTGGGTTGGATTTCTCCTGGGTGCAGAGCAGAGAGGAGGGAGGGTCAGGCGAGGCTGTGGCCTCACTGTGCACACGCCAGTGTCGCTGGGTCCCCTCCATCCGTTTCAGGGTCTCTCCCTCTGTGTGGCCCATTTAGCTTTTCTCTGTCCCCCGAAGGTCCAGCCATGTGTGTCTGTCCCTGTCTCGCTCAGCTCTCTTTGGCTGTTTCCCTCTCTCTCTCGATCTCTGGTGTGTTTCTCTTTTGTCTCCCAGTCTCTTTCTGCCTCTGTGGGTCATTTCTTCTGTTGCTGTATTTTTGTCCCTTTCCCTGAATTTCTTCCTCATAGCCAGCTCGCTTGCTCTCTCTGTCTCTCTCCCCCTCCACTGCTCACTTTCTCCTCCCTACTTTCTTGTTCTTTTCGCCTCATCTTTCTTTCCCTTCTGCATCTCCCCCCTCCCCTTCCCTACTCCCCCATCTTCTCTTCATTCCTCCTCCCTTCCCCTTCCCTGTTCCTCTCCCTTCTTCTCTGCTCCCCATCTTCCCTCCCCTCCCCCAGACCCCACTTTTTCCATGCGCAGCAGGTAGGCATCTATGAGGTCCCGGGGGGCACTGGGGTCCAGGGTTTCCCGGTGCTCTTCCACACTGCGGGTAATGAAGGCACTGATTTCCCGCAGGTTTTTGCAGACCTGCCTGTGCGTGCCAGGAAAGAACTTCAAGAAGTCAGAGAAGAGCTCAAACAGCTGCAAGAGAGAGGGGCAGTGAGGTCAGCCTGGGGCAGGCGACAGGAAAAGGGCGACCCTCCCACATTCCAAATCCTCCATGGGGAACCTCTCAGTCCCCGTGTCTGTTCCTGTCTCCTCCCTCTCAGCCCATCACTCACTGACCCCATGTCTCCTTTGATCTCTTCTACATTATCTCTTTCTGCCCCTGCTCCCTCATCCTTGTGTCTTTTCCTTGCTCTCTGCCTCGCCTCCCTGTCTCTCCCCTCTCTCCCTCTCTTTATCTCTCTGTCTCCCTTTTCATATCATCTCTCTGTGCCTCTCATTGTCTACCTCAGCCTGTTCCTTTGTTTTTCTCCTTCTGTTCTCTGCTTCCTCCTCCCTCCTCATCTCCCTCACTGTGTTAGGCCTTGGTAAAACGATGCTTAGGAGTATTTATTTATTTTGGAGCATATTTCTATTGCCTTAGCTGATCATAAATACAATGCCTAACCTCTTGCAAACAATTGCAAACAATGCAAAAATGTATATCATAAGATGTAAATTCCTTCTTAATCCCTCCCTCTAGAGATAACCATTGTTAAGTGTTTGGTGGGTCTCCGTGCAGACCTTCCTGTCTCCATGGTTCTCCAAGGGAGGGGAACATCGGAATCCCCTGTGGGGTTGACCCCACTACTCCCTGGGGACCCCATCCCAGCTTTTCAGATCAGACCCTGCACTAGGACATGCTGGGAACCCACATTTGTGACAGTCCCACGTGGGAATCGGACACACCCCTGCTCAAGAACCATAGCTACACCCCCTGCTCTGCATGCGCTTCATATTCTTAAACTTAATGTGCAGTAGGAATATTTCCACGGCCGGGCGCGGTGGCTCACGCCTGTCATCCTAGCACTCTGGGAGGCCTAGGAGGGCAGATTGCTCAAGGTTAGGAGTTAGAAACCAGCCTGAGCAAGAGTGAGACCCTGTTTCTACTATAAATAAAAAGGAATTAATTGGCCAACTAACATGTATAGAAAAAAATAGCCGGGCATGGTGGCGCACGCCTGTAGTCCCAGCTACTCGGGAGGCTGAGGCAGGAGGATCGCTTGAGCCCAGGAGTTTGAGGTTGCTGTGAGCTAGGCTGACGCCACGGCACTCACTCTAGCCTAGGCAAGAAAGCGAGAATCTGTCTCAAAATTAAAAAAGAATATTTCCAGGCTAGTCAATTAGAGAAACTTTATTATTTGTTTTAAAAGAGCAGCTTAGTACTTTATGATCTGAAAAAAGTTCTTTAAAGAAATCCACACTAAGGGAGAAGGAAAAATGGGGAAAATGGAAGAAATGTGGTTCCCTATTGTGATACACCC